AATTTTCCTCTGTGACAGCATCGTTATTTATGTCTCGCAAGTTGTGCCATCTGTCGTGCCTCATAAGTGCGCTCGCGACCACAAACGCGCTCCACGAAACATACATAAGGGGCCTAAGGAGGCTGGATATGAGCTAATGGACGAGATTGCCGTGACGGCGAGGATGGGTTCGCGCGTGGACAAAAATGGTGGTAGAAGTGGAGACGGGCGGGAGGGTGATCAATATCGGCATCGTGTCGGCACACTCCATTACCCGGCAACGTGAATTAGATGTAGCGACTGATCGAATACGTGGAGGGTTAGTGAGGCTGTGAGAGCAACTTACCTATTAGAGAACTCGTTGAACACCCCCAAGGGGAAAGAGAGGAACAGACGCCGATTTAGAGATTTATCGCCGATTTGCTTTGTTCATTTTTTCTTTCATTTTCAGTCAGCCGGGCATCCAGAATCTCTTTATCGACCGCTGCTACCCCGCAAATTTGGTCTGAGATTGTTGCTTTAAGCTCTCACTGAAATTGTCTCAGGTCGCCTTTTCTGAAAAATGGTGGATGAGCCAGTGTGGTGTAATTCAAATTGGAATTACTTCAGTTACAGAGCATGAACATTTGGCATAGGTAAAAATATACTACGATTCTTGTCGTTCTTCTTTAGTCTGCAGATCGCATCGTGAAAAACACAAGAGAACAAAAGGAATAGCGACGCCGGCGAAACCGTATGGATCAATGTTATGGAGCGAAATGAGCGTCGTAAGTGATCATAGATCGGTTTGCTGCAAACGCGCCACTGCCGCTTGTCACCATTTGTTGATGAGACCTCTTACCAGATCGACACTCTGAAAAGCGCTGTGGAAAGTCCACATCCAATGAAACGTAGATCAAGGATTGTTCTTAAGCAGGGTAGGGGTCAGATATTGGCACTCTTACATATGACAAGATTGTATGGAAAGAACACTGGTAGTAGGCAGTATGCATCGATGCGCCCTTGAGAACAAAGTCGACCAGGAGACCATATCAAAAACAACCCCTACGGAAATAAGGAATCGAACAACGTGTTCTGATGAGAGCATGATAGCAAGTTGTGTAGTTAAGAGTTGAGTTTACCTGCTGAAACAAGATTCAGGGACGAAATCTCGAATCTGGTGCTATACAAGTGGGGTGGGCACGCCCAGCTTTTCACGCATGTCAAGTGCTGCCCTCACCCCCCACCCCCTAGATTGGCTACACTCCCCTGGCTCACAGAATTCCCCAATTCTCGTGACAGTATAGTAGCGGGCAGTCCCACTTACATACATTTTTGTTTCAAAAAATGCGGCGTGCCCACCCCACTTGTATAGCACCTCGAATCTTGATGAGGAATCACGAAAACATGACAAGATTGCAAAACCCAAGGTCTCTTGGGTGCTCTATACCCAAGATGCCATCTTATTGAAATGAACTGCCAATCTATCGCAATGTTTGCAGAACACCGATCGAATAAAGGCCAAACAGCGAGAAGCAAAAAACATGGTCGAACTTGTTTGCTAGCCTCTGCAGAACTAGAGATGAGACTGTCAAAGTGGCTGATGAAATTAGGTTCTGATTGCTTCCCACGATAAAGGAAACCAATTGCCACCGTTAAAGTGGAATTTTTGAGTCGATAGTAAGCGAGTGATAAAGATTTGTATTGACGGTGAGACTAGGATAGTAATAGACGAGGGGTAGTAGGAGAAGGACTGCGCTGAAAGACTAGGCCGCGTTCAATGAGTTTGCGACCACGACGGAAAATTGTGCTACGTAGTTGAGGGCGCCACGCCGGCAGCGCGCTTTTTCGTCGTCTCCTCTCCGCAAGGCTTAGTTCTGAAGGGCCACTGTATTTCGATATTTCGTCGCGGCAGCGATGGAAACAACCCCTCAGAACTAATTAAGAAAGAAAAAAAAACCTTTAGAAACGAAATAATTAAGATGGTTCGTTCCGCTCTTTCCTCGTTTCGCCGCACTGGTGTGGCCCCTCTCAACTACGCTAGCACCCAGTGCGTTCCAAGATAAAATGAGTATCGATCGATTCGCCTGAAGATGCCTAATCTGCTGCTCTCCAGCGATTCCAATCGATACGTATCTAATCTTGTCAGCGCACAGACCTAGGGTCTATTCCAGGCGCTCATCCGGTAAGGGGGGGGGGGGCATTGTGATGCAACGTCAAGTGGCTGCCCTCACCCCACCCCCCTAGAACTGGCCTTCACTCCCCCTGGCTCACGGGGTCCCGTACTTCGAGAAACCTGTGCGCCAGGGGGAGTGTAGGCAGTCCTAGGGGGTGGGGTGAGGCAGTCACTTGATGCCCCCCTCACTGATGTAGCGCCCTCAATTCCCAGTTAGGAGGCATCATGATGCAGTTTCTCGGTGAACTCGAACATTCCAGCTTTTCACGCATGTCAAGTGACTGCCCTCACCCCCACCCCCCCTGGCTGGCTACACTCCCTGGCTCGGAGTTACCCTAGCTTTCTGGAAAAACTGCATCACGATGCCCCCTACCTGGAATAGACTCAGTCCTACTCTCCTAATCTGCTACTATCCAATCTCTCTGCTCTGTCATACATATCGCGTACCATCCTGACCAACCCGTCCCATCCCCGAAGTCGCAAACCATGAACGCGGCCTCACCGTTTCTCAAGATCACTTATCCTGCAGTGCACTTCAGAACCTAGCCCATGTTCGCAATTGCCAAACTCTCCTCTTGACAAAACCCAAGCCATGACTGCAAGCCTACTGCTTGCAGCACCACAACATGCACCTTCCCTCCTCAATCGATAAGTTTACATACCGACTTCCATTGACAGTGGAAATGTCAACTATGGAACAATGGGACTGCCAGACTAATGACCGCCTCCCAAAATACATTTAATACCCCCAGACAAAGTGCCCCCCATAATCTCGAAAAGGAATGAAGAATGGAAGGCCACCAAGCATACGGAGGAGCCCGTGATGGGATTAGACGTCAAATAAAGGATGTGCTCTGTTCGTCACAGACCACTCACCTAATTCACGCCCGTATTGCATGACAGCAAGTACGCCTTGCTTTTCCTTGATTTCTTTACCTTTTTTGAGTTCGTGAGCTGTTTCTTTCCCTTACTAGTTCATCTCCCGGTCTTCCCGTGAAAACTGTGGTGTGCCGCTACATCTTATTTGGGGTGGTCCATGGACGGTTGTCCAGTCTCCGAGACGCGCCCTGTGCTCGCGGCTAAGTGAGTTGTTCCAGTGTAGGTTTAGCTGCGAATCGCTTTTTTTTCAAGCAAATTAGTCAAGAGGGCTGTACCTTTCATGCGGTTGTTGGCCACTCATCACGCGAATCATTTCTGCCTGTCGGTCCAGTCGCAGACTCGGACATCCGCCTCTTTTACCAATTTATGTGTCGCAAACGTCCCATAGGGCGCATGCATAGTCGGTCGTCGATCGTAACGACCGCACAGGTCGTCGTTATTGGGATCCTTCACGACGTTAAAAATTTCATCATCATCTCAGGAGCTCGGTGTGGCTCGCTCGGACAGAAAGCGAGTGGCTTCTCTTCACACTTTGGGGCGCGGACGAGTCGGTAGTGTCCCGCGAACTGTGCAGGGTAAATTTGAAAACGCTTCATCCAGCACAGTTCGCGGGCACTATCAACTCGTCCGCGCTCGCCGCGGCCGCGCCCCAAATGTGAAGAAAGTGGGAGAGCCAAAGCGACTTTTTCGCGTTCCGCGGCGCGGATTTCTATATAGGAGCCTCAGGTCCACCGCTGATCATATGTGGACCTCTGGACTTCTCGCGCTGCGGAACGCAAAGTCACTTTCTATCCTAACGAATCAGACCCAGGAGCTCCAGTAGTGGTGCTCGGCATTGGGCCGGTGTCAGACTTGGCGAATCGCTGCAATTGAGAGGTAAGAGGGATGCACGAGGGTTCAAGCGATGCATCTGCGAATTTGTCACTGATTCGTTTTCTCGTTTTCATGTCACTCGCACCCCTCAAATTGTTAGCAAAATGCCAAATCAAGTGAATTCGCGGATCGCAATCTGGTACCAGCCACAGGCTGCGGACATACTTTGCGACTGACTTGCAGTTCGAGTGTGAAATATATGCGTATCGACCATGAAGACGCACGATTTCACGACATTACTGACTCTCCATAAGACCAGCAGTAACACTCACCTGTCGATTATGGCAACCGGTTTTCCGGTGTCACTGAGCATTAGTCCAGCTCTCAGGCAATCCTCCACCCATCCCGAATGGGGAAGGTGCAATCGAAATTCCTCAAGGTGTTCATGCTCCGTTCACCAATTTCAAGTAACCAGTTTGGTCTACGTTAGGGTTACTTCATCATTCGCACTGTATGAAAGGGCTGATAAGCGTGAAGTGTGATGGTGGTAATATGCAGCGAGTGAGTCAGCAAATCGTTGTAGTCGCACGTTTTCGCTGATTAGCATTGGACCGTGGTGTCGGTATCTACAAACGACGTCGTTCTTTTTCCAATTCTTTTTGAAGCCTAAAGTTCTTTTGACCATTGCCCTTTTTTGACACTACGTCTTATGAAGTGTTAGAAACCTTTTTTAGCTCCAGGCATTAAAGTGCAGCAGAGTTCCACGAGGAAGGTTATCACTGCAAACAAATAACCGTTGCGGAAAACGCATTCATATCAGCAAAAAATAGAGCATTTTGGTGCCGCAGAATCATAACAAGTGACGTGCGCCAGTCAAGCGCATGATTGCTCCCAACGTTGCCAAAATACGACACAATCGTTTTTGCTCTCGAACAGTGCTTACGAATTCGCCTTCAAATTAGATTAGCGATAAAAAAAACAGTAAAACATGTCTTGTAAGTGTTGTCTGATCTTTATTAGGAAAGCCTTGGTACTCTTATCGTCTCAGTGACATTTCCTTGATGACTAACCAGTTCATGAAAGTTCCTGTTGGATGCTGTACTTTGCGGCTTGCCTGGAATCATTTGTCTTTATTTAACATTTTCTCGCTACTCAATTGCACTTTTTCAGTAGCATGGTGGAGGAGGATAAGAGCGACTCCAGTGAAGAATGTGAAAAATTTCGAATTGACGTTGTCATAAAGAATTTTGAGGCATCATCTGAGTACCACAAAGAAGACGTTGATTTGGCGCATTTTATAGGTGCTTATGAGGAGTTGAATAAGTAAGTTCCAATAACAGAGTTGGCTCATTGTTTCTGCCTGAAATTCCTTCGTTTTTTACAGATTCATTGGTCTGCTAGGGAGAATATTTCACTTCGTGCAAGCAGATGTCCGCGAGAAAACCAACAAGTTACTCGATCTCCGTGAAAAGAATCCGGATTCTTACCGTAGCGTGAAGTCGATGGTTACGTTCGAGAACGAGCAACGACACTATCCTGGGTCGAAAGCGCTTCTTGGCCTACACAGGTGGGTAATATTTGGTCAGTTCGTTGTAGAGGTGTTGCATGGATGCGTAGAACCACCATGTTGTGAGTTCCCTTCTACTACAGTAGGAGGCTTAGAGCCGGCCGGTGTCAGACTGCGAATCACTCGATGGCACTCGGCTGCGACGGTGAGAGTGTAATTCAACTAAGGCAGTCACTCGGTGACGTTGGTAGCTGTATGCGTACACTTTTTTTTTCTTCAACTGGGGAATAAGGCATCGCTTTGAAAGTTTAAGGTCCCTGGCCTCCCTCAGTTACGGAATATGGGCCGTGGCGCTTTTTTGGTGAGGTTCAAAGAGTTTCTGAAAGTCTGCCAAACTTGAATTTTAAACTAAAGATTATTTTAATTGACCAGTGTTATCAGTCCGACGTTATACATACAGTAGGTGTGCAGTAGTCGTGACGCTTCGGCTAAAGACAGTTTTACAAGTCCGTGGCTTTGGATCCCGCGGAAGCCTAGCATGCTATTTCACTCAATTTTAGAAAGATAATGTATGCTATACGAACTACCAGTATTGGGTCAGTGCTTAGCTTTTTTCCATTTCGTAAACACTAAATCGAATCTTCGTCAATCAATCTTGTGCCATCCCGGGTTCATTTAGACATGTATTTACTATTATGATTGACCTGTAAATAAATAAATAAATAAATATTCCTATTCGTAACTTCTTATGATTTTGTGAAATTATCGGCCTTGAAGCTTCTTTTCGGGAATCTTAATCCTCACGTACGCCCATGTTTCCTTATTTTTTATCATTAGTTTCCTTTCCCTATTTTTCCTCTTTATCTGCACATATTTGTTGAGTAGTTCAAAATATGCGCGCTTCTGTTTCAGTAACACATGTAGTAAACGAGAGCCTCCCCAACTCTTCAGCCTTCGATTTCCGTCTTACTATCTTCTTCAACACGATTTCCTTCTTACTGTCTTCGTAGGTTTTCATTACCCTAAAATCCCATAGATAAGAGCGGTCCATAGATATTTTTTCAAAAATAAAATAAAAATAAAAATATTTTTTCAAAATCATTTTTTACCGGTAAATTAAACCGCTCTTATCTATGGAATTTTACTGATCGAATGGGCTCTTCAAGTTCTATCCAGAGATCAAATTCCGGCATTTCTAGAGAGATTCCGGCAGAAATTCCGTTAAAATCGCTATTTTTCTATATGAATTGTTTATTAAGTGGGCGGGGTTTAGAGTTGAGGGACGGAGCTTCTTCTAAACTTCTTCTCCGATTTTTATTTATCCATCCATCAAGTTAGAGGGGTGACTGCATTCAATTTCAATTTCATTCCAATTCATTTTTCACCGGTAAATTAAACCGCTCTTATCTATGGGATTTTAGGGTAATTTGTTTATACTTACACTTTCCCTTAAGAGCCCTGGAGTTCATCGCTGCGTTCATCGCAGCTCTAGCTGAAAGCAGCAATGAAGATAGCGTCGCTCAATATGTCGCAAAAGCTACGAGGGCACGCTGTCCAGGTATGTCTTTTTTCCCGAATTCCTTGATTATTTCTGGAAAACCGAGTTTTGGCTCATTCCCCAGGCGGACTGGATAATGAATTAGAAAACCGCTTTTGCACACCACTACGAACGTGATGTATTGCGGGCCTCGACGCAGGAATTCTTACAATTCGGATGCTTTTGTTACCGTTTACTCGCACTCCTTTCAGGAAAAGCAATTAATTGAATTCACTTTGTAGCTTGACTAAACTAAGTTCCAGTATGGTTGGAGTGTGCTTGATCCATTGCATGCGAGTAATGGCGGGATTACCATTGTGTTCAGCTTTTGATAGCTGCATTTATCAAGGAATACTCTGCTCAATTCCCACTTAATAGCTCATTATAATTTCCGCATTCGAATACTGGCTGTTGGGTAACTTCAATTTGTCGCGTTTAGGTTTCATAACTGGATGTTGCGGAGAGCAGTCAGTTTGGCCTCCTACACTCTTCCGTCTCGTGGCCAGCTAATCATGTCTATTCAAGGTGACCTACCCGAAGAGGATCATCTTCGTACCATTCTCACAAATGTAGTAGATAAGACCCAAGTGGTTTATAGCCGTGTTGACAATATATACTCTGAGTATGACCTTCACTCATTGTTATGATTCGTGCCTTATCCCCTCATTTACTTTCACTGCATTTGTTCATACCATGTTCTTGTCATCGATGCACTTATAACGACTTGCAATTGTATATAGTCTTTCCACTTCCAAATCCGTATCAGCTTTATCACTCCTACATAGTAGCACATGCCATATTGCCATCAAAGCGTTTGACAGCTTTCATTTCATTACTTGTCCCAAATTCCACTGTATTATACAATTCTAGTGTCAAGATATTGAATGACATAAAACCTTTTTTTGTAAATGTCGTTCAACACGAGCAAGAGTTTTATGTGCTCCTTTTTTACTTGGCCTTTGAATTGGTTAAGGTTTGATGACATTTTGAGCACTATTTTCAAGAGATGCAGCCAAGTTCTGATGATTGGAGTACAAGTTGCGTTCGGAGTCTTCCTATCGGTTCCGTAGCTTTTAGTCCCACAAATACGTAGGTTTTTTTTCTATAAACGCTTGCAGTTTGTCATGAAAAACGGTACGCTGCGAACACTTGTCTAGTACTTTGGTCAATATTTGTTGGCAATTTTCGAGTTATCTCCCCTTAACATCCCCTTCGAGATGATTCAGAAAGTCTTTACCTTGTGCTCCTTCTTGCGAGCTTTCACTCTCAGAGATTACTTTCCTTGTTACCTCCACGCGGGGTCACTCCGGTACCCAGTCTGATTCGGAGCATGTGCTGATAACTGTTGGTTTGTTCCGCTGTTCGGCTTCAATGTTCCATTGCTGATTAGTCTTGCATGGATCTTTAATACCGCGCGCATATTCTTCTCCTTCCCCCCGCGGCTTTCAAATAGGTACTGAGGCTCGAAAAGATGTGTGGGTAGGATGTGGGTTCAGCTTGCCGTTTCTTATCTTCGCGACTGTCTCGTATTACTGCAAGGAACGAACTTTGGGCGCAATGTGCCTCGGGGGGGGGCCAGTCGCCGCGCGCGCTCTTGCGGCAACAGGAAATTCGTGAGCCAGGGGGAGTGTAGCCAATTCAGGGGGGTTGGGGGTGAGGGCAGTCACATGACATGCGTGAGAAGCTGGAATGTTCGAATTTCCTGTTGCCGCACAGCCGCGCGCGGTGACTGCCCCCCCCCCCCGAGGCACATAGCGCCGCGCATTTCTTTTCTGAGCCATAAGTAAAATCTACGCCGTGGAAGGAATCAATAGCAAATGGCATCTGGGGTCACCACATGCACTCTTCACTTACCTGAGATTTCGTAAAAATTCTTCCGTTTACAAAGTAGAGGTAGATGGAATGAGAATGTTCACCCACAAGTACGTCGTGCTCTACCGTGAAGTCAAATTTTGCTATCTTGGAAGTAGATCTGATAGTTTGGATGGACTGGATGGATATTTTCGCAGGTTATGTATTAAGAAATTACCCTTTCAAAGGTGTTAGAACTGCTACGTTCGGGGCTATCCTTCCAAGTTAGTGGAAATGAGCTTTTCTTGACATTCACTGACAATACAACGTGCTAGACAACACGTAATTTGGTAACATAGGGCTCTATGTGAGAGAGACCGCGGTTTTTTTTTGGTACGCTAGTAAATTCTGCTCAAGTTGTCGTATTTTGATTAGTACGCGGTGGCTCTTCACGATAACGATCTTCGAATCTTGCCTACACGCATTTTTTGTAAGAGTTATTCGGCCACGTGTTTGCATGGCAAACCTTTTTTGCTCAGCCTGTCAATTAATTTTGTTCATGACACCATGAGTAGAATGAAAATTGTTTCTGGTTATAGTGTCACTGCTACATGTGCAGGATCTTCTTGCGTTCTGTATGCAACATCCGATGGAAAGCGTAAAGCAGTGCTTGACCACACGGATGACCTCGTGTCCGTGTTTTTTACTGGGCAAGATAAGGTGCATTTTCGTTCTACTATAACTCCTATCGTTGATCTCTATTCTTGAAAAAAATTACATTTAAGTTGGTCACTGTAACGAAGTGTGGGGATATGACTGAATGGATCAGTTCGGGAGATTCGTTTTCACAAACTTCCTCCCACAAAGTGACTGCCTACCCTGTGAAGTAAGTGCTTTATTATATCTATTGATTATCTTTTCTATAAAGATAATTTCAGAAGGCAATATATTTGCCTGAGGAAGAACGCTGCGTGGTAGTTACTGACCACGACACTCATATTACAGTTGCGAATGTGACACGAGACAAGTCTCTCTCGAAAATCGCACAACTCCCTGCTGGGCTTAATTCCGAACAGATCGCCGTAACGGTAGCTATTCCCCGTGTGTTCTCTAACTTATGAAACTATTGTAAAATACTTCAACTTCAGAGCAGCTATGTGGCGTATTGCAGCGGTAAGGAGGTCTTTGTCATTCCCACTGATGAAAATCCTTCGTTCTCTGCAAGCAGTTACCTATGCAAAACTTATATAGAAGGTATGAAGGCACACTTCAAATGGTCGTATTCTCTTGAAATTTTATGCGAAGCGTCTTTAGGGTTTGGAGATCGGAATGCCGCCAACATTTTTATCAGAATCACAGCGTTAGGTGATACGATTGCAGCAACTCTAGGCCATTGGAAGAGTTTACGTTTGGTAGGTGCGGTTACGATTGTTAAGGTGTTCTAGTTCTTATTTTGCGTCCCTGGAGAGGCTTTTTTCTCTTTGGCTTCTGACTTTTGATGAAACCTAAATCTGATAAATCTATTGATTAGAAGAGATTATATTACGAGAGACGTGGTGGAGAATCAAAAAGCAAATGTACTCTTGATGACCTCACTTTCTCTCACTTGAGTCTGTTGATTGTTTTAATGCAGGTCGCACGTTTCGCAAAAAGGAATACAGGATTCAGCTTTCTCAGTCCACTGGCACAAGGTCCGTTTTTCCTTCACATTATCTATTCGATAAAAAATTGTTTTCGCATGGTTAGCTTGTGATCTTTTCGTTCAGGTTGCTCCTAGTATAGCACTGACACCGTTCGGTGGTTTACTGTCTGCTGGTGCTGAGACAGTACTCTGCAAGTTCACTTTGAGTGGGGCAGGCCGCCCGAACATGTTGCCTCACCTAGCAGCTCCCGTTCGAGACCTCGCGATTTCCGACGATGCCAGTCATCTTGCTGTCATACTAGGTATATTTATTTCCCTAGGGAATCGAGCTCTTAATTTTTGCCCTCTTTCGACATTCATTTTCATTGCAGAGGATAACTCGGTGCACGTGGTGCTAACTTCAAGTATGACAGTGCTTTCATCTTTGCAGACTGTAGCCACATGCAGTCGCTCCTTGAACACCATTTTCTGCGCGTAAGTTGGTCCATTTTTGGAATACTTTTTTTGAAAGTCGTGCTTTCAATGAGTTCTTCTTCGGAACATTGGTAACCCCGATCTTTCTTAACCATCCTGTATTCCTTCCCCTTCCATGATCGACTTTTTCGCTGTCTCTCTTCACTTTGCCTCAGTAGTGCTTACCCTATCACTGAATCTTTCTTTAGTATTCTTTTGAATTTGTATTGCACAATATTTTGTTTGAGTTTTTCTTTTCTTCGGTATCATTTTCAGTAATCTTTCACCATCACTATTTGCCTAGTTTCCATGCTGATGATAGCTGTACCACTGAGACCACCCTTTGAGCAAGTGTAGGCACCACATGACCCACAGCTATCGTATAGTGTCATCCGAAAAAAAATCAAGTCATTTTAGTGATCCTGCTTCACCTGGAATGCTGGTGATGAACGGTAAACCTGGCTCGTTGCAATGGATAGATTGTGAAAAATCGTATACACGCCAACAGGTCAGTTACGCAGTTGTAATTGATTTCATTACTCAGCCAGTGTTATGCGTTCGAAAAAAGTTAGCTCTTGGGCCGTGGTTATAGTTTGCGACCGTTCTGCAGTTTGAGTGTAGACCAAATTACTTATCGACCTTAGTATTTCGTGGCTCGCGCGATGCGCTGTGTCGATACGTATCTACTTTACGAAAAAGCGCAAAGACCGCAAAATCGTGAAATCGCAGACTATAACCGCGGCCATAGCGATTGCAGCCATCTCCCTCTCTTATCATGTGGGACCAATACAGTGAGGGGAGCTGTTGTAGGTTGTCCGGATAGTTACAACAACACTTGAAGTCCATGATAGTTCAAGAAGTATTCAATTTCAATTCACGTGAAATGCGGAGTGCGCAGCTGAAATATCCCTTGCCTTACGTCGAAGAGAGAATGTCAGGAATGAAAAGTGTTTGACAGAAAACTCTCACTGCTGTGTTGGTGAACTCCCCATTACTGTTGCCTGCCCATATGTCCCTATCATGGTCATTTCGTTCCTCTGGTTCCTTCCTTAATTTTGATTCTGTGTCACCTCTTGAAAATTTATTGTGAGCGAACTTCGGAAAAAACTTCTTTCCAGGTTCACTTTTCATTAGAGAACGTGGCCGATGGAGACATGTCGTTCACTGGTATTACTTCCACTTTTCCGGATGTCGAGCAAGTGTTTTTCTCAGACTCAGTGGTGGTGACGTTAGAGCGAATTATCAATTTTGAGGAAGAACATGTGAGCTCAGGACATCTTCGTTTCCTTTTTGCTCTTGTTTAGTCCGTACTATAGAGCAATCGTAACAATTGTCTGAATATGATTGGAGTACGCAGGAACTGCTACAATTTGCTTGTCACTGCGAGTGGTGAGGGTTCGATTCGATACTGGGCGAAGATTTTGAGTGTATAAGGCTGTTGGGCATTTTCTTATGGTACTTTGGGTACCTTGGGTTGAGATGGCAGACCTCTTTGCCATTCCATGCGTTCTATGAAGTGCATGCACTAGTTTGGGGTCTAGAACCTAGTATGCACATCGATGGAACACATGGCTTATCTGTAGCTTTTAGAGCCCGTTACCGCACAATTTGGAGCAGTTTTCATAAAAAAATAAACTTATGAATTTCATCGATTAGTATGCTACACATGGTCGAGGTATTCGACATTGTTTGCCGTTGACACCACAGTGCTATAATGAATATTAATTTGAAGTGATGGTGGACCATGTTGTTTTTCTTGTTACGAAACGGGGCAAGTCTGATACTTCCGACTATCACATAAAAATTATTTCATGAAACGATTTCTAAACTCCAAGTTTATTGAGCGAGATCATTTCCAGAAAAGGCTTCGTTTCTGGAAAAGGACTAAGGGAAGTGAAATGGCTGTGCAGGTGTTGGATTCGTTCGTTGTTTCGAAAGACACTGTTTCAGTATCTGGATCCAGGGGCAACTCGGCTGACTATGAGAAGTTTAGTTTCAGTGCTGCTATTAGAAATGTAACGAATTATGATGTGATATGTAGTGAGAAGTTTTAGATCATATTGTCAATCATGAGCAGCGGCAAGGTGAACGTATGGGTTCCTCATGAAGACGGGGCTCGATTTAAGTTGGACTGTACTCGACAGCTAGATAGGGTACGTTTTCAAGGTTTGACGCTCATTTGCTGCTATCCATGGTGTTAACATTCTTTAGTTGCCCCTTTTCTTTATTTGTGTTGTGTCTTCAGCGATACGCGTTCCATGCGGGGTCAACAGTGCACAATGGTATGTGGGCATCTGCTCATCCAGAAGGTGAAAACAACACTGATGCTGTCATCGTTTGGGATACATCTGATGTCAGTCACTAAAAGTTTTCACTTCAGTCTCAAAGACAATGTAAATATGAGTTTAGATGAGTGAAGTGGAAGCGTTGCGAACAGATGGTCAAGTTCGTTCTGTTGAATTTGACGGCAGAGGGCATTTGGTGTGCGCTACTGACAAATCTGTCCGATGCTGGAGGCATGTGGCGATGCGATTTGAATTCTTGTGGGTGGTTGAACAGCCTCTCCGAGTTCACATATCCCTTCTAGGAGCATTTGCCTGGTCCGAGAATAATGGTATGTTTTGGCTTTGTTTAGTTGATCGATTTTTATCTTTGGACAGCTAATTTGGTGCATGACAAGCAGTAGCTATGGCGATTGGTTTCTCTCGGGAATCTGTTATTTCCTACTATCTGTGAACCGCTATGTCTGTCTGACGGAACGTCAGGGCTAACAAATGGGAATTCCGAACGAGGGAAATAAACTCACCAGTTCACCACAGCAGAGCAGAACAGTGCCACTCCAGCCAGTTATGGCTAGTAACAGGATTATTGTGCAGTCTTTCTACGGAGGCTATAGTCCAGCGTCTCAGTATTCGCGTCAGTAGGACTGGTGAGAATATCCCTCGTACAGGGTTGGCTTATCCCCTTAACGTCCCGTCAGAAGGCGCCTAGAGAGGGGGCCGTACTCCGATGGAGAACAGTATCGTAAACCTTAATCCACTTAGCCGTAGCGCGTTTGTTAGAAGATACGTCTCGGCAGCATCGGATCCACTAATAAATTCTCCCCCTAGTTGTAGAAGATAACCCTTGATAATTTCATCTGCTCCAAGTTGCAATCGCCCATGTTTCCCAATCGCCAGTCGCTGAAGCTGACACCTCAATTCCGACGTGTGAATGGTCATCTCATAAGCAATGAACATGTTTGTCATCAGTTTCTAAAACCACATTTCTCTCGAAATTAGATCCACGCCGAAAAGTGAAGTAGAGTCCTATACTCGTTGACTAATTATTACTAATAATTATTACTTTTCTGGACGACTTCAAATATCTTTTCCGAAAAAATGCTGTTGATTGGTGCAAAAATAAAATTGTGAAACATTCAAAAATACTCCCAGCATGTTCATACCTTGTCTGCAGCGTTCTGGCCTTTCATGGCGTTTCGAGTCGCGAGAAGTGGTTGCTCTCTTTGTGTGTGACGGCAGCAAGTTATCTTTCGGGAAATATCGCCCAAGAAGATCTAATCGTGAGTAAGCCCTTAGTTAACATATCTATACTGAACTGATCGCTACGGAGACTCCTGTTCGGCTAAAGGCAGGGTAGGAACTCGGCAGTCGAATCACGATCAATAGCGTGTTTCTGGCTGATCAGTACCCTTGTAAGAAACCGTCATGACCGATCTACGTCTTGGGCTTTTCCGGCTTGGTATAACTATCCAAATTTAAGGGAATACTCATTGCTAACGTGGCTCGGTTTGACAGCAGTAATAAATTATTGCTTTGAGAAAGAACGATCTCGCTCGAACCTTGAGTCAACTCAAAACGTCACTTGACTCAAAACGTCGTGACAGAAGAAAGAGACCATTTCAATGCACATCATAAGTTCTTTGCTCTGCTCCAAAGATTACGTTCATTAGAACTGACAACTATAAATTTATGAGGTGGGGGCAATTGGTGTCGTGGCAGCTGCCTTATATGGTCTGTGCGAAGGAACTCAACATCCGCTAGTGCATCGCCAGGCCAGAGTCAAGCCATCTCATGCCTCCCGGATCGCTCGATGAACCTGAGACTTGTCTGAGAGGATAAAAAGCCCCTAACTTGTGCATTATCCCCCCCCCGCCCCCCAAGTTTTTGTATAGGCCAAATCGCCTTGAAATTGCCACCACGTTTCGGAATGGAAGTAGAATGCGTGGCGCATTCGAAAACGGATTAATTAATGCCAAATGGTTTACTCTTCACCCTCTTGTGAAAACGGGAAACAGCAGAATTTTTTATCATCGCGATGCCATCGATAGCGATAAGTTATCAATTTTAGTGATTGAATTTGACGCGGAGACAGCAGCACTGAAGAGCTCATTCTCACTGGAAGCTCCAGTAACAGATCTCGTTGCGACGACCCACGAAGACTTGGGTGTCCTTCTGGTTGCCAACACAGAAAAGGTACCGTTTCTTTTCTACCCATCGCTCATGATTAATAACCCCTATATCATTGTAGGGTTTGTTCTTTGCGCATTCGAGAGCGTATGCGAAGAAGACGGAAGAGACGTCCGTTCCAACGACAAAAACGCCATTCGCACAGCTTGCCCCGGTAGAGGCATCGTCACAGAGAAGTTTAGGAGCAGCGCCACGACCGGCAGCCAAAGCTGCTGCGATACGTTTACTTGACGGACCTTGTCATGCTCTTCCACCTATATCACATATTGCGCCGCTATTTATTTCTCAATGCCTCGCTCCTCCTCTCCAAGATTAAACTAGCATAGCTCTTCCTTCTTTACAGGTTATTAATCGATGTAGATTTTCGTATATTTTAGATTTTCAATATTATTGTTGTTTTGTACGTTGTTGATTGTTGTCGTTGATCATCGTTGTTATTCCTTTACCCACATCCCATAGATCTTGATGAAATTCGAACCTATTCTTTGATTCTATCTCGATTAAACGCGTTGCGCTACGTGGACTTCAACCCAAGGTCACCGTCCGTTTGCACTAGTCGAACGAGGGGGTTGCATTGGGGGATGGGAAGGTTAACACAGGAATTCTTTATCAACGTGATGCCACCGATAGTTTAGTGATTACCAATTTTAGTGATTGAATTTGTGTTAGGTTACTCCGGGAAAAGTGTGAAGGGGGCCGTGAAAAGTGAATTGTATCTAATGGTTTTTTCGACGAGTTCGGCGAAAGTCCCTCG